ACTCATAAAATGTGTACAGCATTGTTAGTGGTGATGAATCGAGGATTTACTGTTATGAATAAGAAAATAAACGACAGTGTTTCGAAAAAGATGGTCGCTACATTTGTGTCAAAAGCGGGTGATATTGCAACAATTCCTCTTAATGAGCAAAGAACTGTTAATGCGGATTGGTATACCACCATTTGTTTGCCAAAAGTCACCACCGAGCTTCGAAAAATCAACCCCGAAAGAAGAATCATCCTCCACCAAGACAATGCAAGCTCGCACACAGCCCAAAAAACAAGGCAGTATTTAACGGAAGAAAACGTGGAATTATTGGACCATCCTCCATATAGTCTCAATCTAAGTTCTAACGATTTCTTTACTTTGAAATTAAAAACAGACTGCGTGGTCAAAGGTTTTAGTCACCAGAAGAAGCAGTTGACGCATTCAAAAATGCCGTTTTGGATCTGCCAGCAAACGAGTGGAATAAGTGCTTCGAAAATTGGTTCGAGCGCATGCAGATGTGTATTAATATTCGTGGAGAATACTTCGAAAAACAATAAAGTCATTTAAAACTACCCACCGTGTTGTTTTATTTCCATATGCAAAACTTAAAAGACATCCCTCGTATATATTTCTGAATCTGTCTGTGTTACAAATTTGCGGCGACTCCTATACTCTTGTAGTCCACTGAAATAAATATTAATATTATCATTTTTCTCAAGTGGTTTTATTTAAATTTTCGGTGTTACATCTGAATCTGCTAAATGTTACCTAATTTTAATTGATTCGGCTTATAAATTCTTACTTCCTACGCTACTGGATGAATAATTATCGTAATCGCTAAAAATTTTGAAAATAAGATATGGTTTTTGGATCATCACGAAAAACCATATCACTCATTTCCGTCGGTCTATCTGTTTAACTGACCGCTAATCCTTGGACTATACCTATAGCTTGGGAAGTACCGGTCTTATTTCGATGAAAGTTTCCAAGGACGAAACATTTTTAGAATAACGGCTCAATGGCTGCAGAGCTAGGAGCAAAAACATGTAAAAAATAAAAACCGCACAATCTACGTTTTTTTTGACGTTTTAAGGCTCCTGGCCATTTTCAGAAAAAAAATTAGCAGGAGATGAAATGCAAGGGTGGGAGTATACTTATACGCTTCCAGCCCCATCAATCTTACACACCTATCAGTAGTACATAATCTCACATATCAAAGGCTTCCCCGAACATTTGCGCTTAAAACTTGAAATATTTACAGTCACGACACGTCTTCGGTCGAAATGACGCGACGCTTGGACTTTGCGTCTAACTGCATCGCCAGCAGGGATGATCTCCAGGGCTCTGGATTTTCGAGTTAAAGTCTCGTGGCTGGCGTTTATAACATGTTTGAATGGTGTGGATCAGCAGCGTTGCCAGATGGTCGATTCTCAGGGAAGAAGAACAAAAACAGTTTTTCGATAAGATACTTTTATCTTGAAGTTCCGCCAAGTACTTTGGTAGCACCCTGTATAATAATACCACACACTGTTCATCGATGTATAGTTATAATGAGACTCGGAAGAAATAACGATAAACTATTATTGGACGTAATTAATTGCCGAGTACAAGTGCGTCTCTGCAATTATTAACAATATTTACCTGTGAGATCAGGTGATCATGAATTAGTATAAAATAATTGCTGCGGCACGTTGTGTCAATATTCCTTTCATTAATAAACACATTCAGGACAGCCGAATGAAAACCCGGACCTGGGAGAATCCGGGATTAAGGACTCCCCCAAAGGTTTTGAGGAGCAAAAATCTTAAGATGCACAAGGGTTACATAATTTTTTCAGGGAAATTTACGGTGACATTCAGGGCATAAAAGTATGATTAAGGTTCTTTAACACTTTCTCGAACAATTTATGTTTTGGCATTATACGAATTAGATTCATGGGTGCCTGCAGGAGGGTGCCAAGAGGGGCCGTTGCCCCCCTGAGTATTCGGTTGTACTTCAAAATTTGTATATTTAGTATGATTTTGTGTATAATTTTAGGGATTTTCAGGCTTTGCCCCTCCCTCTCGAAAAGTTTTGGGGCTGGGCATAAAGTTATCTAGATGAGACAGCATAAACTGCCATCTATTGCCAGAACTCCCCACTGAATAGAGTTTTTTTGTTCAGCTTTCGTTCATTATTCCAAGCCTTCACCACACTGAGCAACTGTCAAACAGCAAGAAACAGCTGTACATTGCTAGTCGTCTGTCGACCAATTATACTACTAACAAACTTATCTCTTGCCGATGATCGCACTTCTTGAGAAAAAATCCTGCGGGTGCCCATGCTCATGATATAAAATTGACTGTATATATATACGTATATATATATACGGGCATGAAATACAATCAATTGTTAATTGGGAAATTGGCATTTTCTTTGCTTTAGTAAACTCTTTTAACGGTAATCTCGAGCTTTCGGCTTCTCTATGGAGCCATCTTCAGGAGCTGAAAACACAAATATGAATCTGGCAACCAATATGCGAAGGGTTTAAATTATGAGACAACTTACTCGTCGCTGAGGTTGTAGCCAAATGGTCTTTCAAAACGAAAGCGCGGATGAGAGCTCTTATTACAAATTAATATAAAACCAAAAGGACGGACACATTGGGATTATTGATAACGACGGATACCATCGTTAGGTATATATATTATATAGATTACCCATTTTAATCTATTCTTGTGAGCTGCGCCATGTGACAATAATTATTTTTAGTTTTTTATGGTTTAAACTTAAAATTTAGTGTTTCATTTCCGAGATTATAGTCAAATGTTTTATGTTTCTATTCAAAGAAGTTTTGTTTTGTATTTTAGTTTTTTTAATGTCCGATTGGTTGCTCTCATCGTGTTTTATTTTATTTAAATTCTAATAAAGTCTTTAAACTGATAATTTGTTTTTGTTTTTAGATTTGAAATCAGAATGTGGTCGTTTTGGTTACGTTTATATTCATCAACTGATCATGATTTTATATACTAAGTGACATATAAATCCGAACACCCAGTTTAAATGGTTTTATTTTAATAAAATTTTGTATAAGTACTTAATGAAGCATAATAAGTAAATGATAAAAATTTCAAAATGAGTGCACTGCTTTAAAGCCCTTTGACCTTTAATAATGTGTGGATGCACCCTGATGTGCTACGCATTCTCCAATGCGCCTAGGCATGCTTCTGATCAGGTGGTCAATGTCCTCCTGTGGTATCTCATTCCAGGCAACCACCAACTCCTCTCGAAGTGCTTCTAGAGTCTGAGGAGGACGTTGCAAATTGAGCAATCTCCTACCCATCATATCCCACACGTACTCAATTGGGGATAAGTCGGGAGATCTTGGTGGCCATGGTAACAATGTGACATCATTATGTTGAAAGAAGTCTATTGTGACTCTTGCAACATGTGGTCGGGTATTATCTTGTTGGAAAGTTGGATCTGCCAGGGTGTCAAGATAGGGTAAAATATGGGGTTCTAGAACTTCGTGGATATAACGCTGCGCGTTCATGTTACCTCTGATGAAGATTAAAGGTGACCTGGAACCATAAGCTATAGCACCCCAAACCATAACTCCAACAGTGCGATGAACATGTCTTTCAACAAAAAACTGTGGATTCCTCCTTTCACCACGTCGCCTTCTAACCCTGGCACGACCATCGTGCTTGCCTAAACAAAATCGAGACTCGTCACTAAAGACAATACTGTTCCATTCCTGATACCAGAGTGACCGTTGTCTGCACCACTCAAGGCGATTACGTCGGTGTTCTCGAGTTAAAGGGAGGACCCAGTGTGGCCGGTATGAAAACAAGCCAAAACTTCTCATTCGTCGGTAAACACTTCGCATGCCAATAGGTCTTCCGTGTTCTGCAAACTATTCATCTGCAATGGACCTGGTAGTGGAGAAACGGTCCCTTAAGGCCAATAATCTTAGGCGACACCTAACCACAGTGTCTACACTTCTTTGCACTCTAACTGCAATTGCCCGAAAAGAAAGTCCAGCTTCCCGAAGTCCCACTATACGGCCCCTATCAAACTCACTAAGTTGACGAAATCGTACAGGTCTCCGTACTCTAGGCATCGTAAAGGATGTCAAGAACCAAAATCCGCCAACGTTGATTCTTTACTGCGGCTGAAATATTCATTTTTAGAGCGTTAGTGAATTAAAAAAAAACAGTATAAAAACCGGAATGTCCAACTGATAAGGCTGAAAATTTTTTCACTTGTTATTTACAGTAAGATAAATACATTCACCAACTTTTATTAAAATAAAACCATTTAAACTGGGTGTTCGGATTTATATGTCACTTAGTATATTATCACTATACAGAAAAAGCTTGCAGTTTATCGACTAATAGAAAAAGTCGATATTTCCAGAAAAGTCTACAATTTCTTCTACTAAAATAGTTTTTTCACAGAGCAATTAATCAATATTGGAAAATAAAAAAATCGATTTTCCATTATTCGATTTTTTCCACTCATTGCCACATCACTATACCAAGTGCTTCGAATCTGACCCTCGCCATCAGGATCTCGGAAACAGTATCAGATACGAAGTGGCTTGAATGAAGACAATGTTGCGTATTTAGGTAACTACAAAAATGCTGGAGACGAAAAAAAAACGAATTTTCCCAAAATTGTTTTATTTTTCCCTAACTTTATTTGTAGTGGGATCTCAAAAGAAATTGCACATTAACATTTCCACTTTTTTCCTTTACAAGATGGCATAATTAGAATTTCAATATGACGTTTCGTCTCCTGTCTTCCAGCATTAACTTTATTTTTTCTCAAGGACGCCATATTAGAATTATGCATAGGCGAATAGAATGTTTAGTTCTGATTCCAAAAATGTATAATATGCCACATACATACACATACATTTACATTGCCAAACCTTAGTGAGAACGCAGCGTTAGAGATGGCTGAGCTTAGTCCAGTATGAAGATAGGGCTTTATACCAAGAACCTCCTGGAAGCAGCATCGTATCTTACCTTTTCCCCTCGATTAGGGCCATAATAGTACATCACGAGTATAACTGCGGCCAATGAACCTAAAGCGAAGACGACGAAGGCGATTGCCTTCTTGGTGGTGACGAAACAGCCTCCATTTCTGTTGTATTTGAGTATGGCCTCATCACTCAAAAATTCAGCCCTGCTAGAGTGGTACGCGCCACGACCCATCCTGGATCTGCAATCATTAAACTGATGTAAGAAACGATGGTTACGGAAAAAATCTTACTAATTACTTAGAATACTTCTACGGGGTGATTCAGAAAATCGTTAATAATTCCGCAGTAGAAAATATCAGGTAGGTAACCAAATAAGTTCGTGCGGTTGTTGTATATCGCACATTGCCATGGATGTTGTTGATCGATAGCGATTGTTTGTTACCTGTTGTCACTTTCGTATGAATCCTTCTTTTCTCACATACATAAAAAGTTGCTGAAAATTGTTACATGCCTAGTTTTAATAATTGAAAATGGCGTTGAAAACAGTAATTCGGAGTTGTTTACTAAATGAGTACAAACTTGGTACAAAAGCTGCAGCGGCGATGCGAAAAATATGTACCGCATTCGGAGATGATCTTGTTATCGATCGAACAGCACAGAAGTGGTTCAAAAAATTTTCTTCGGGAGATCTCAGTTTGAGCGATGAACCGCGCTCAGGCAGACCAAAAATCATGAACAACGAGGATCTTCGACAGGTTGTGGACGCAAATTCCAGGACAACGTGCCAAGAACTTGCAGAAATGTTCAGAGTGAGTCCAGAAACTATTCGTTTGCATCTTCATCAGCTAGGAAAGACGTGGAAGCTAAGCAAATGGGTCCCACATGAATAGACAAATGATAACAAATTAAGTCGTTCAGCAAACATTTCACGCAACGCTAATGAACCATTTCTTCTGTTATTAACCTGCGACGAATAATGGATCTTGTATTCGGATTCTAAGCGTTCGTATCATTGGTTGTCGCCTACTGATTCGGTAGCACAAGGCTTCCTTGCACCCAAACAAGGTTTTGTTGTGTGTTTGGTGGTCAGCAACTGGAATTGTCCATTATGAGTTTTTGGAAAGGGGTCAAACCATCACTGCTAACATGTATTGTGTGCAGCTTCAACGAGTACAAGCAGCACTCATCCAGAAACAGCCTTCTTTGATCAATCGGGAGAAAGTGATATTCTTGCAGGATAACGCCAAGCCTCAAACCGCAAAAGTGACCCGAGAACTCGGCTGGGAAACGTTACCGCACCCGCCATACTCTCTCGACATTTCGCCCAGTGAATATCACCTTTTTTTGTCTCTTGACAACTGTATGAGGCACCGACAGTTCACAACTCGAGATGGTGTATAAATGAAGTCCGCCAATTTTTTGTTGGCAAAAGGTCATTTAATGTGATGGTAATTACTTCGACGAATAAATACTGTCTTATTGTTTCTCAATAAAAAATCATATTTTTGTACTAAAAGCCATACGAACTTATTTGGTTACCTGATATGCCCAAAAATAATACGAAAAGTTCTTATAAATATGGGTCTTCGAGATTCAGGCTGAAGTTGCAAAAGAAATCTTTGGAGTGTGTTGAAAGATATCGAATTAAATTTGGTACATGAAGTATTAACAGCACAGTCGATACATACAAAATTTACGGGTCTGGGACTACACCGAAGTATTTACAATAAGTGGACAAGATATTTAGGCCCGTATCGTCAGTCGTCCCTACAATTGTAGGGCGCGTTTATGGCCTCCTTGATTGTCATCCTCTTTTCTCTCCTTCAAAAATTTCTAGATTACACTTGTCCCGTGTCAGCGTCAGCGCTCTCCTATTGTGAAGATATGTTTTCTTTTTAAATTGTAGGAAAATTCAGGCTGATAAAACATGATATAACTCAAAAGCAAGCACAATTTGATGCAAATAGATGTTTGTTACATAACCTCAAAATATAGTTCTGACACGGAGAAGCAGAAAACTATGACAATCAAGGAGGCCATAAAGGCGCCCTACAATTGTAGGGACGACTGACGATACGGGCCTTAGACTTACATGAATCGCCTCTGTTATGTAAATTTTGATTTTGGAGCCAAATTCCTTATTTGAGGTAAAATCTATTGAAAACGTCAACCCCTCCTACTTTGAAAATACGCTGAAGTCAGTGAAATGTGACATTAAAAATTGTATATTATGGAAGTAATCCTATCTCGCCATAACGTTACTTAAATATTATTCAAGTTCTGTCCTTATTTAGTCTCATCAGTGGCGTCAAGATTTGTAACACCCTATAATGAGTCTTTTTGGTCAAAGGTTTTTAAACTTATTTCGTCTACTGCCTACTTTGAGAATCAATTATTTTCTAGCGCCTCCCGAAATTGTTCAAGATGCCCTCTCGGAAGTGGGAGGGAGTTTCTGCGATTGGAAATTGAAAAGTGGAGGGGTCGTGGCGCCGTCTGCTGGATCAGCGCCCTTTGCGTCTGATAACAAGTGCCCTTTTGTCAATTTCAATGAGCGGGATAGTATTTTTTTTTTTGGCTTTAGGACTAAGCCATGCAGCCAGAAACTAGGTTGTATATAGAATATATCTAATTATGTACAAACACACGACGTCACAACATCCATGGCGAAGGCGAGATTCGAACTCTCGTCCCGGCCGGCCGGCTGATCAGTAGCACGACACTCTGACCCACGCGGCCAACCGCGGTCCCTCGGGATAGTATTGACAATTGGGAATTGAAGATCAGGGGGAGGATCATCTGCATCAGTGCTTCTAAGAGCGAATGTCCTTGTAAATATCATCGTTACGTTTATACTTTTGTTATTTTTGAATGCATTGTGCCACGATTTTCTGAACCACCTTGTATAGTCAAGTGGTCAAGTACCAGATTGGAGGAAAGTAACGTGACGCTTCGTACGCCACTGATTTAGGTGCTATCAGCAGACCAAATCAATCCAGTACGTAACGAGGTAACAGCATACCAATAGCTTGTTTGGATGATTGTTACTGACACTCCGGCAGTCAAAAATTCTGTGCGCAGTTACGATATAGGATCCGCTCACATGTACATAAAGACATACCCAGCTGGCAGTGGCGTACGATGCTGTATGCTACTTTCTTTGAATTTAGTACATGACTATATTATGAGAGAACGGTGTATTTTTACCACCCTCAGCCGGTACTCTCGAATCTCACATTCATAAAATGTCTAATGTTTCAACAAATTGCCATTCCCGTTTCGATATCAATGTCGCATGCCACATATTCTCGCATGCGACACTGAAACTTCATTTATGAGATTATTATCCTCGTTTGCCACTGTGTTGCCCGTTTTGTGAAGTTATTTCATTTCAAGATGGGATTAACGAAAGAAACATGACTATTTTCAAGCAAACTCATACTTCGTAATTTGTCATTTTGTAAACCAGTGAAAAAAAGGTTTACGCTCAGCACAAATTAAAAGCCCTATCGAAATAAGACAACGCCATAGACCTTATATTCCTCCTTTCGTTCATTGTCCCAGAGACCAAGCCTAGATCATGCTGATAAGTTGCCAAAAAAGTACGAAACAGCTGTCTGTGGTTGGCTGACTTTGATTGGACGGACGAAAGAAGCACGTTAAAGTTAGACCATTCAAGGTAAAAGTTAGTCATGCAGTATGCATACGAACACCGGCACGCCAACTGCAGTCGTTGAAGTCAGCACACGCAGGGACGCTTGTCGAAAACATTTTTCTTTCGTTTTAAGGGCAAATGTAAAATCTATGATGTGTGAAATATTTCTAATAGGCACATAGAATTATTGGGGTTGGGAGTATACTTACATCAATAAATTGCGATACCATGCTTTTTGTAGGTATAAGTAGCGTATGGATTCCTCATATAAAACGCGAGCAATATTTTCTCAGATTCTTCTGTGGCTAATGTAGCTTAAGCCCGGTTTTTCAATCGCTGGTTAACTTTTAAGGAAGTTAATTATCATTCGTTTTTCGAGTTCTGGTTAACAATATATATACACGTTGACGATGCCTGAATTATCGTGTTCTTTACGTTTCGTGATGTTCGGTATCTGTGTCTCGTGTCATCCATGACAACTTGTGTCATTACGTTAGAAATTACGGTTTGACCACAACTTTATAGTTAGCGCATACATGGTCCTCTGGTTGAAGGTTAACTACCACTTCAGGACAAACTTGATATTGAAAAACGCTTTTTGAGGGTTAACTTTTGGTTAGCACTCAACTTGCAGTTAACTTCCTATTGTAAAAGCTGGTCTTAGCGACATTTCTTAAAGAAGCATCTTATCTACGAAATCAACTAAGACAGGCGACTTAAGGACAAACTTGATATTGAAAAACCCTTTTTGAAAGTTAACCTCTGGTTAGCAGTCAACTTGTAGTTAACTTCCGATTGTAAAATCTGGTATTACGACATTTCTTGAAGAAGAATGTTATCTAAGAAATCAACTAAGACAGGCCACTTTAGGACAAACTTGATATTGAAGAACGCTATTTCAGAGTTAACTTCTGGTTAGGAGTCAACTTGCAGTTAACTTTCGATTGTAAAACTTGGCCTTAGGGACATTTCTCGAGGAAGCATCTGATTTAAGAAATCAGTCATTTTAGGACAAACTTAATATTGAAAAACCCTATTTCAGAGCCAACTTCTGGTTACCAGTCAACTTGCAGTTAACTTCTGATTGTAACACCTGGTCTTAGGGACATTTCTCAAGGAAGCATCTTATCTAATAAATCAACTAAGACAGGCCACTGTAGGACAAACTTAATATTGAAAAACACTATTTCTTAGTTAACTTCTGGTTAGCAGTCAACTTACAGTTAACTTCCGATTGTAAAACTTTGCCTTAGGGACATTTTTTGAGGAAGCATCTTATCTAATAAATCAACTAAGACAGGCCACTGTAGGACAAACTTAATATTGAAAAACACTATTTCTTAGTTAACTTCTGGTTAGCAGTCAACTTACAGTTAACTTCCGATTGTAAAACTTGGCCTTAGGGACATTTCTTGAGGAAGCATCTTATCTAAGAAATCAACTAAGAAGGCCACTTTAGGACAAACTTAATAGGTATTGAAAAACGCTATTTTAGAGTTAACTTCTGGTTAGCAGTCAACTTGCAGTTCACTTCCGATTGTAAAACTTGACCTTAGGGACATTTCTTGAGGAAACATCTTATCTGAG